ACTTTGCTTCCACTCCTTGTCTTGAACCGAACCTTCTCTAGAACTTGAACTAAAAATTTATGTGTCACTGTGTCAAAGGTCAACTAGAAAGTGAACACGTCTCCCAACATTAGACTCTTAAAATTCATCGGGTCACACAAACAGTTCTGCAACACCAACCCCTCTAATATCACAAACAATACGTACATATCGTTTACAGATATAACAATCATTTTGCTCCAAATAACTTCAGTAAACAAAAATTCTTTTTCCAGCTACTGGTTAATTCAAATTATTTACGACGTTTCATAAATTTTAATAAAATTGTGTTACCAAGTTGTCATGCACGCTACGCCCAGGCCCACGGAAACCAAATAATTCATCTGGTGTTTAACAGTCAACATGGAAAGTATTAATAAAACCAGAAGGCGTATTACATTAACGCGTAATTTCCATATTTTATAAAAAAAATATCGACTTCCTTGTCGTTGTTCCACGTACTTTTCCGTGGTTCACTGGTCAGGGTCGATCAATGGCCGTCACAATACCAACGGCACTGGATAAGAACGAATAGACACGTTTCTTTCTTCAGTACTGTAACAGCTTGAATTACAAAAAAAATCTGAGAAGAAACTGTGATTATGCTCCTTATGCAATGCAAGGAGAGCAGACAGACTCCTTAAATATAAATTAACATTTGTGTAACTTAACAGTCTGTACTGCCTAAATTTCCGTTAGCTGGACGTGATCTTTGTAAAGCGAACGAGAAAGATCTATAGAATTTTGGTGGGGAAGTACTTAAAAATGTCAACTTCAAAATCAGTGTATGTGGGAGGGCGGTATTACACTGAATTATAATTACAAACCTTTTCTAAGAACATGTCCTGATTATAATTGGTCCCGAATAAATTACGAAAGCGTCCTTTTGGACAGAAATGGTACAGAACCTTCAAAATGACCAAACGTATTTGTACTGCCGCCATGTTTGTAACTGTAGCATAGAGAAATATTTATAGTAATATTAATGTGCACGGTCTATATTAAATTATGGTTAATAATGTCACCACATCAAACTTCGTCTCGATAATTAAAATACTTCAACAGTTATCGCCATAAAGACAAATATATATTTCGCCTAGAAGGCAGGTTGTCAAAGCGACCATTCTATTAATTTGCTAACATTTCAGTTGTTTATCTGTTTTCTTTTTCTGGGAGCGGATCTTTATAGAAATTACTTTCATGGAGTTTTTAAGAAAGTACGAATGAAAATAATGCCTAATGTGGAAATCAAGCGACTAAATAACAGAAGACCGCAATCACTGAACAGAAAAAACGGAGTGCACTCATGAAGATGTCGACCAGAGAAAGGAGAAACGCTCAGTAGCTCCAGCGTCGACTTGAGATTTTAACTGAATTTGAGTGACCAAAGCTTCCTTACGCCGAGGCAGATGACGTGCCCACAAAAAAACGCAATATAATCTGGCAGCACCATTAGGATGTCTGAATCACAGTTGGTGGCACACGGGAACAGAGACTGGGGTCCAGGTGTCGGGAAACTTCATCTCCATGTTTTTTTTTCTTAAGAACTGTATGTAAAGTACACACAACATTTTGAATTTGAAACCGAACTGTTGTGTGGATAAGGAATGTCTTAGCGGCTTCATCACGTAAAGCACAGCGCCACTCCCAGGGGCCTTGAAGCAAAACGTGAGACTGCAATATAACAGTAATACCGAAAGTAAGTCCTCGGCTTCTCGCGGCGTTGTTCGCCGTTAAATCTCATATCGTAAGACGTCAGACGTGCGGTAAACAAATTGGTAGCGGGACGACGTTTTCTGGTGGCATTCTCATCCCTGATGAAAGCCCATTACAATTGCTCTAGCCCGTCCGTCCTTCTGTACGCATGTAACATTCCGACGGTTAAATGGATTTTAAATAAATCTGGTATTGTAGGGTTTCACTGAAATCTGTCCACGCATTCCAGTTTCGGTTTTAAGAATCGGACAATAATACGCACTTAACACGACTACCAGCCAGCAGTCCGGTACACAGAGGAACGTAGTAGCCCCTGAGGATTCCAGAACGTGCGCCGATGGTTGCTGACCTGACAGAAAACACCCGTGGCACAAGGAAGCCGAGGGACACGCACTTGTTGCGTGTGCGTGTGCTCCAGTTGGCAAGGCAACTGCATTCATTGATATTATTACACTACACACGTACATACTTAGGTAACATACTGCCATGAGCATTGGGTTTTAAGTCAGTGTTTGTTAGAGAGGGAGAGTAAGTGCTGGGTTGAGACCCTGATACCCAGGATTAGCAAGGGGGGGGGGGGGGGGGGGTCTTGATCGACTGATTTACAGTATCATCTTCTTCAAATATAACCTAACTTAATGCAGCCTAAGTGCAGTGACTAGGAGTTCTTCACGTCTGAAAGTCACTGCTTTTAAAAATAAATTCTGCTGTCTGTTTTATTTAAACTGCCTTAATCTACACAAACGAGGCTAGCAGATTCTGCGGAACCCAAGTCAGATGCATCCCGCTGAGCTAAATATTGCTCCCAAAAATTACATTAATAAGTCACTAATTAATTCACTTGCTCATTCACTCCATTGAATAGACTCATTTTGAGAAACTGAGAGTCGCTCAGCTAGTCAAAGAAGGAACACAAAGTGTTCACAATTTTTATTCTGATTCATATTAATTCAGTCCAAACCCTCTCTAACTGTTTCCTTCAGATCCATTTTATTCTCTAATCTACTACTAGGTCTTCCAAGTGTCCGTTCTCTCCAGGCATTGTAACCAATAATTTGTATTAATTCTCATCTCTTCCAAGAGCTCTACATGTTTTGCCCTCACCATCATCATCTTTGGTTCTAATATCCTACCGACATTTCACCACTCTTGTGTTAAGAAACGCGTTACTTCGTATCGATGTTAGTGATTTCGGATTGTAACGCCGCGTGGATTCACAGCTAGATCCACTTTCAGGGTTTAAAGTGAGCAGTTTGCTTTTTCGCAACGTTGGCGCCTATGACGGTAATACCCAGAAGAAAAACACGGACATCAATAAAGCTCGATTTTAAGTTCCACATTAATTCGGGATTTTGCTACACCGACAAAAAACAAAATTAATTTGGCCTGATAGCTTCAACTGTTATTACCTGGCCCAAACACCGAACAGAATACAGATATTTAGGATACTTTAACAGATATAACATGCGGACGGAGAGACACTTGACACAATCCGTAGACAGAACACGTAAAACATCGTAAAATGTTACGAACATTTCCAGCAAACCATAAAATAAATAAATCGAAATGACGCAAGTAATGAGCGAAAGAAGAATTGTGTCCAGGAACTGAATTAGACACGTGGGGAGGGAGATGAAAAGAAATGTAATGACATTTCTTGGAAGAGCTGAGGAGGTAACCAAGAGATAGCACGACGAGTGTTGGAATGCAGTTGTTGATTGAGACAGGTCTGACTACAGAGAAAACTGGACAGAACGGGTACAGTGAGCGGAGAGAGTTGATCCACAATCAGCGCGAGGAACAGCGTTTGGCTGTCTTCTGGGTTGTCGTACCGTGTAGTCTGGTAGAAGTCTACAGACGTTTCGGAGGAGTTTGCTGCCTCCATCATCAGGGCAACACGATCCTCTGAAGCGTTGGCAAGCAGCCAGAAATACCGCACGGTGCACCAGCCCAGAATATAATCGGTATTCGTTTCACCGCGAAAACGTAAAATCTTACAAATGTTCGAAAACTTTCCGGGAGCTAACTGGTGATGTGCTTTGTAATAAGGTAAAGATGATGGTGACGGAAAGCACCCCTGAAACGTCGGTAAACTTCTGCCAGACCACACGGTTCAACAAACCAGAAGACGCCCATCTTCAACACTTAATGCAGATCTACAGTAATAAATTTCATGGAAATCCGTGCAGTGATTTCGAAGTTATAACAAGCGGGGACACGGACGACATTCCTATCTGCGTTCACTTAACGCAGTCTGAGCTAAGAACATTATGAAATTAATAGCGATGAGTTGTCTTAAGACACAATGCGTGAATTGGTCTGCAAGCGAGACGTGTTGAAACGCTCCTCAGGAAATACCTGCACGCGTACCAACTTTCTCACATTAACACTGAACCTAACCTTCACCTAGAAAAGGCAGGGGAGTGTTATGTAAATACATTGTAGAAAGCTGCAGGCCTGAAGGGGTCTGTACTTGAGGTGGGTGGGGGGGGGGGGGTTCAAATCCGGCACCGATAGTAAAGCAGTGAACGTTGAAACGGTTCCAGTCACTGCAGGCGACACGAGGTCGTGGTTCCCCGTTCTCCAATCGTGACAACGTCTTCTCAGAAACTGGAGCAAATCAATCAACATGTGGACCAACAAGATACGCATCTGTTGATACAAAACACACACCTCTCATTTCGTATCACGCAGACCTTCTAGACTTTCTGCAAGGAACATCGGTGGAATTTGTAGGCCTGCGACCTTCACTGACCTTCATTGCTGAAAGCCTATTCTCTTAAAAATATCATACAAATAGCAAGCTTCTTTATGTACCACGCCACGAAGCTGTATTGGGGAGTGACTGCATAGCTCCACGCATTCGTAACAGTCAACACAATGACTGAACTATCTAGGTCCAATGTAAATTATGTTTGTATTTATTCAGGCCTAAACGTTTACCACACCGTGAAATGTTTAATTGGAAATGTAGATTATATACGACGCGTTCGCTAATGAAGTTAAACGCCACTGTCACTTCCCTGTTCCTGCCTGGTAACGCGTGACTCACCGCCAATCGCTATAAAACTTTTTCAGATACGAGTCAAATATCGCCACATGAAAACATTAAATCAAATTACCTACGTCGTAGTACTTCCTGCCGGGGAGCAGAGAAGGGGCATTTACGTTTAACTTCGTCAGTGAACGCACTGAATTTTCACGAGGATCTAAGCAAGAAGTTGCTCTCGCCTCAACCAGGTTTAACGTCGTCCTTTGTTTTGCAGTGTCTGCAGCGTCGCGGCTCTCCTCACCGTCGCAGGCCAAGCCTCAGATGCGGAAAGGAAGAGGCAGTTTGCAGACTTGGAACTTAATGTGACAGGTAACATAACCTAACCTAACATAACCCAACCTAACATAACCTAACCTAACCTAACCCAACCTAACCTAACCTAACCTAACATAACCTAACCTAACCCAACATAACCTAACATAACCTAACATAACCTAACATAACCTAACATAACCTAACATAACCTAACATAACCTAACATAACCTAACATAACCTAACATA